GTGAAAGGACATAAACAGTAATGATGTCGATTAGTGTAAATCCATGTGCTTCACTGTAAGGATCTCTTTTTTGTTTCTTTTAGGATGATAGTCCTAAAATCTACCCAACAGCCCCTCAGCCAGTCCCGGCCTCATTTGTGGTAGATAAGCTGCTCCTGGAGCGCGGTGAAGACGGCATGATGAGGCTCAAAGGTGAGAAAAATAATTGCCTAATTATTTTACATGAGGCTTGTGCACCATTTTTTAAACGTTACGCCAGTCAGTTGTGCAGATAGACTTACTGTAGGTACGTGCAGGATCATGATGTGTAAAAACCAGCTTACAACATCTGCTGTAACATGAAAGCAGAACAGAAAGTGATCTCTACCATTACCATCTGAACCCCCAGCAGGTGTGCCGGTATCTGGAGCAGACGACCTTGGTTTCTACAGTTTCTACTCGGGTCAACAGCAGAAAGAGGTAGGGGAGACCAAGCTGTACTGTACTGCACAGCTTCATCTCTGTGTGTTGGTAAACTTCCTGTACAGTAGTTATTACGTCCAAAAACAACAATCTTTCTTGTTCGATCAGTAGGTGAGACAAATGGCCTAAAAGTTGATCATTTCCAGCGATTGATCATTTAAAGTAACTTAGGAATATGACATTAAAAAAGAAAGCAGTGAAAGAAGTCCTCTTAAAACAATATAAATGTTGGAACAAATTACTGTGGACTGCTGATTCCATAGATTTATCAAAAACATGGTTATAATTAGACGTGTATTGTGCTTTTAAACGACAAGTAGAGACGTCAAAGAAGCTTAACAAAGAATGACAATAAAACAAAACAGGGAAAACAATACAACAAAGAAATAATGTAAGAGAAGGAGGAGGAGGAGAACAGGCTTTGTTAGTGGTTGAAGTAGGCGATGTTGAAGAGGTGACTTTTTAGGGATTTCTTCTTTTTTTTTTAAGATTTATTTTGGGCTTTTCGTGCCTTTTAATGCAGAGAGAGGACAGTGGATAGAGTCGGAAACCAGGGAGAGAGAGCGGGGAATGACATGCGGAAAGGGGCCACGGGTGGAAGCGAACGAGAGTCTCAATACATGGGACGCGCCCTAACCATTGCGCCACCAGCGCGCCCCTTTTTAGGGATTTCTTGAAGGTGGAGAGTGAGGGGGAGTCTCTGGGAGTGAGTTCCAGAGGGTGGGAGGTTTGCATCAGCAGACCTGAGAGTACGGCGGGTGGGAGTGTGCCGGTGGAGTAGCTCAGACAGGTAGGGGGGGGGATGACAGGTTATGGACGGCTTTGTAGGTGATGATGAGGAGTTTGAAGTGGATACGCTGGGGGATGGGGAGCCAGTGGAGGTTATGAAGGACGGGGGGTGATGTGGTCACAGGTGCGGGAGTGTGTGAGAAGACGAGCATCGGAGTTCTGGATATATTTTAGTTACTTTAGCGTTCTCATATAATTCATTGTATTAGAATTGTGGAATCAATTAAAAAGAGAAGTGCATGAAGTCAGTGATGATTATTCTGCGGACTTAAAATAGTATCAGCAAGCACAGGAAGAGGCTGCAACATTATCCTCCAAAATGTGCAGTTGTTGCAGAATTCCCAGTCGCTGAAAGGTCCTCTTTGTTTAATATCTTAATGTCTTCGTAAGAATATCAGCACTGTCCCAAACATAGGACTGTGTAAAGCTCTGCATTGCATGTCCACAGAGCTTTTTGTGTCTTTCCATTTTATCTGCAGGTCAAGATCTTGAAACCTCAGCTTCTTAACGTTTCAAGCTCGAACTCATGTTTAAATCTATCTCCTCTGTCTGTCTTAAATACAGCTGTGTTTCCCGGCTCCTGTTACTGGTCACAAGATTGTGTAATGGAGTTCTGATTACACCTGTTGCCGTCTTTCAGAATCTGATATCTGCGCCACTTAACCTTTAGCACCTAGCCAAAAAAAACTGTAGCCGCAACTAACCAATCTGATGATGTGCCGTTCCAGATAAAAGCCTTGGAGTCGCAGCTCTCCGAAGCCAAGTCGGCTCTCATCCAGGCCCTCAGTGACAAAGATCGCCTCCTTCTGGAAGTCAGGAAGTATGACCCCACGTTTAATCTCTGAGCCTCTCGGGTTTCACACATCGTACTTACAGTTTCTCCGCTCCTGCTGAGGAACAGTGAGGGGACGTCAGCAGGACTCGTTAACAGTACGTGTGGACATTGGACATGTTTGAGAAGATGACTCTTGAGTTGCAGCTTTGGATCACTTCCAACTTATACACGAGATTACAAAAGACCCCCGTATAATGCTCATACTAAAAAGGGGAACCTAGAGGATTAACTCATAGATACATTAATGGTACTACTTTTTTTATCTGGCAGTCTAGATAGTCCTCACTTCAGTGCTAAACACCAATCACTCTCATTACTTTTTCCTCCAAATCAGTGTGAACAGTGAAGTTATTGTGTGGTTTCAAGTGTTTCGTCACACAGCATGCAAGGGGTACCGGTAAATATCATCAAGCTTTAATTCTCTCCACTTCAGGATTTGTGTTACAGAAAATGTTTTACGTCGAACACATGTCAAAACCTTCTCTTCATATTTACTGACACTGCCAGAACGCTACTAGGACCATCAGTCGCTCTTTCCCCAAAACACACCTTCCTGTCAAGCATGCTTTGTGAACGGTGCTAATTTAAGCTTCGCACAGAAACAAAAAAATAGACTTTGTTGTACTGACTGCTTGTGTGTTCCTTTTCATTTTAAAGTATTATAAAAAAAAAAATAATATCAGCTGTTACTTGTTGAAAATATGTTGTGAACGGTAGGGAAAAAAACGTTGCACTTTTGAAACAAAAAGAAAAGATACAGCTCAATGTTCCACCTCGGATTGCTTCATCAGCACGGAGGAATGGTCAAACACTTTTGTCATGTTCTCACCTTTCTCTCAGAAAGCGGGTTGAATCATTCCCAGTGTTATTTAAACTTTGTGTTGTGAAATGTCGATCATGCTGCTTTTTGTACTGTGAAAACGACGTGCTCTGTGGTTGAATGTTCATTCGGGACGACGCGCCTTTCCATTTCTCCCTCAGCTGAGGAGAGCAGGTTGAGAAGCTTACATTTTGGAACTGGGTTATTCAGTGTTCACTCTCAGCTGTTTGGTTTAGAGAAGTTTGGAAGGATTAAACCAGCTACCAGAGTTATAAAACTTGATCTCCTTAAGACTTCGTTTGTTAGCTGGTGAGGAAACAAGTCCGACGCACATTTATTAAGCATAGCACAGTTGTTACACATCATGAACTAAAAGTTTGTTCTGGATATTGTTTTACTTGTTTGTAATAATTTATAGTTCTTAAAGCCTGTTTTTTAATTGTTATACAGTGTTTTGAAGCCATATCAATCAAAGAAAATGTCATGTTGAAAGACTGTGGTACTTATAATGTACGCGCACACAGACAATGTAATGACCAAACTCACTACAAGCACTGATCACTTTCAGTGTTTCTGTGTTTATTCCTGATTTTCTGCAGATTTTCACTACCAGGCCAGTTGCCGGCTGAATATACCTGTAAAGATCTATTTTCCATGCATACATTTGTTGTATGCATGTGATTAAACAATGATGGATTTGTTCATCACAAAGACTGTAACAGTGTAATGTTCATTTTATGAACGCTGTCATGAAAAATGTGTCTCTATGAGCGACATTTTATGCACAACAGTTCTATTGTTCAATCAGTGGCTTAGCATTCTGCCTTCAGAGGTATTGTTATCCATCTTAGTGGTCGCAAAGCTGTGAACTTACTTTCACTTACATTTGTCTTTGTCCCACTGTGTGCGTGGGAGACCCCTGGTGGCGGTGATTTGGCATTGCACTCCCCATTCCATACATTTTAAAAAAAATCTTTTCTGTCTTTTATTTAAAACACTGGTTGCCTTGCAAGTTATGAATGACAGATTTGCATTCTGAAAGGGGAATGTAAAATATTCAAGCAATAGAGAGAGAGCCTTGGTTTAACCAAAAATATTTAAAGAATGGTAACACTACCAATTTTTTATGTATGACTCCTCCATTTTTAAGTTGAATGGTATAAAAGAAAAAATAAATCTACCTGACTCTCACTGTTCACCTGCATGTGGACTCAATACATCCTCACTCCATCAGTGTAATAAAACAGAGATACTGCCCTTTAGCCTCACTATTACATGTATGTGTGATCTCAGTTTTTGATGTTGGTATTTTTGCATGGCCTTAGCGGAACAAAAGATACACTTACATATTTTGTTTGCAACATGTAGCTTTGAGAGTCCAGTTTCCTCTCTCCTCAGTGTTAAGTAGCATCCATGTTGTGTAGACAAACTGGTTCTCTGAGTTCCATCTGCTCTTATAACCTTGCAAAATGAGGAGATGGACAGAGAATCAAGCAAGGCTCACGTAAAGAGAAGTAGTTTTTCTCTCTTTGCTGAAGACTGACCTGGATATCCAATGCATGTTCTGAAGTGATGTATAGTTTTTGCCTTGTGAATTATTTGCACTTGTGTGAACTATTCACTGGAAATTGCACTTGTTTTCACTTCAAGGAATTGCAGAAGAGTCCTTGTGAAATCTTCCTTACTGACACAAATGTTGGACAGTATTTTGTCAGTTGTGTGGTGTTCGTTGGATTTTGTAATGTCTTTATCACTTCTTTGAGACTAATATAAAAAAACTGGTTCTGTGAACCAAAGCTAGTATGTGTACAATATTGTAAAGGTGAAATAAAAGATAAAACTGCTCAACACATTTTCAATTGTGCTCTAGTTTAATGGGAAAGTGCATTTTCTTTTCTTGTTACAAACCATTACTATTGAATCCAAGCATCTGTAGTCTTAAGACCGTACATCAAATCAAACACCTAGAGTGTGCTTGAATGACTTTAACAAATAAATGTATTATCTTCTAATTCAACCATTTGGATTTAATAGCATCAAATGTCCTGCTGAAGTTCACTGAGCTTTAAAGCAATTAAGTCACGACAAAACACGCCAATTATAAAACTTACTTTATTTACAAGCATAATACATCAATAGAACTTCACACCATATGACTGTATTCCTTCACCAGTCAAGGTAAATGACAGGTGAGTATTGAACTGTATCATCTGTTTTTCAGTACAGTTACTAATCTTGACTAATATTGACCGGCCACGGAGGCTTCATGCCAAACCATGGCACCACATTTTACAGCGGGTACCCCCCCCCCATACAATCTTTTGATTACAGGTTCCTCAGTGGAAAAGAATGTTCTTGTACTTGGAGTTGGGGATCTGATCTCGGCTCTTCAGCCTCCTCACTGCTTCCCTCATGTGTTTGGGCTGAAGTGGTGGGGTGTCTCCCCACTTCTCACAAACATCCAAGGCTAAAAAGAAGATAAAAAGATAAGAAACAAACAGTTTAACTACAAGATAGTGACGTTTAAACTGCAAATGTATCCATGTGTTTAAGTTATTTCTAATGTTCAGTCTGCAACTTACCCTCCTCAACAATTTCACCGGCAAAAACCTTGGAAATACCAGACATGGCAATCACCACATTCTGGGACACTGACGACCCTGTAATGGACTGGATCAGCTAGAGAATAGACAACATCAAGTTAAAAAACCAGATTCAAAGATTTCATTTTTTTTTCTTCATTTTTATAAATGCTTACTCTCTTAATAGCAGCCTTAGGGAAGGCCGAACGTCTGTACATCTCGTAGCGATTCAGTTGCTCTTCAGAAAAGGACGACACCAAAACTCTGCAAGACAAAAGACGAAACGGAGGTGATTGGTGATGTTTACGGGGGATGTGACTTCAACAAGGTTATTTAACAGAATGGTCCTCTGTTAGAAATCTCTGTCTTACTGCATCTTTTGTATTTCATCCTCATCAACCTTGTGGCGCTTCTCCTTTTTCTTCTCTGGTTCCACCTTTAATCTTTTGGAAGAAGGCTGACCAGAGGTTCCTTCGTCCTCGTCTTCCCCAGCTGCCATTTCCTGTATTGTAAAGGACACAACTTTTTAGAGCCTTTAAAAACATATAATACCCACGTAAAACCACATTTGCACATTACGATAAAAGAAAAGAATCGGAGGTAGTGGGGTAAATTAGGACTGACTGTTTGGACACATAATCTGCAGTAAAAAGACCTCTACTAAACTCTCATGAAATAATTTCCAGAGTGAAAAATCACCTGACAGTAACATTCCTTACATTCAACACGTGTTGTAACCATCATGTTGGTAATGATTAAATGTTAAATGGTCCTGTGATGCCACCCTGAGGAATATCACAGAACCAGCAGGGGACCTTAGTTATCCCTATCAATATACTAACATGGAGAGCCTTTACCTTCAAAAAAAAAAAAAAAAGAGAGTAATTTAAAGAGTAACTAAACCCTAAAACCACTTTTATTTGTTACAAAACAACACTCTTCACTAAACAAACTCACTGATTGGGTAAAAATTCTAGAAACAATAAATAATTCAACTGGTATTGTTAAACACGCAAACGGCAGTCGGTTGTTACCCTGGCATCATCAATTAACCCAAACCTAATTATCAATTGGTCTATCAATTGGGGGGCGGCTTGGGTTTAGAATCGAAGGGTCGCCGGCTCAAGTCCCAGCACGGACCAAGTCCAGAAATTGGCCTGGTAGCTGGAGAGGTGCCTGTCCACTTCCTGAGCACTGTCGAGATGCCCTTGAGCAAGGCACCTAACCCCCCCCCCAGCAGCTCAGGAGTACCCACTGTGGCACTCTGAGACCTCTCCATTAGTGCATGTCCATAGGATCCTGTTTGTGTGCATGTGTGTGTAGCATGTTTACAAGACAGAGTGTAAAGCTCCAGAACTCACAGTCTTCAGCTCCTGTGTGGGCTGATCCTGAGAGGATGACTCTTTGTTTCATGTGTAGATTTTGCTGTGGTAGATGCACTCTCGGTATCCTCCGGTTTACTGTCAGGATGCTCGTCACTGAAGTCCTCTCAGGTGTTCCTTCGGGTTTATCCGTGCAGGGTCGGCCATGATCCCTCACTCACTCACTGTACTGTTGAATGGATGTTGAATAGTTAACTCGGAGAGCAGCTTAAAGCATGTTGTTGTTACACATAAGTTTACCATACATTAGTACGTTTTAAAATCTCAATGATGATGTACTGCCTATTCACTAAGAATAGAAACTTGACGATATTGGGACTACAATCTGCACCTACCTTCACTGCAGCCAGGCGTCAACAAAACACGCAGCAACCGTGGAGCTAACTGAGTGTTGGCAAACGTTACCATATATGTTCAGTATTTTAATTATTTGATGCGAACTACTAATTGAGCTAAGTTAACACATTACGTTCATATCACCGCATTTGCAAAAGGTTTACTACAACTTGAATTATTTCAAGCCTAAGCCTACAAATGACGGTAGTGGGTAGTAGCCACAGCCTAGCATTAGTTTGTGTTTCCGTTTCCGGTTTTTGGTGTAACGCTGCTAAAAGACACAGGCGGACAAATTGTTATAATATCGATTGATTGATTTCATTTATTTCAGACATATCAAATAAAATCAAACATATCAAAAAATAAAAAAAAAAATGAAAAGCACGAAAATACAATAAACAAAAAACAATGTTCAAATTATTTCACAAAAAAAAAAGAAAAAGAAAATTACATATATTCAATTGATATGCCTGAAAAGGAGTAGGAAGAAGTATAAAACTTATTTAATCCTACCCCCTTTCCACAGCTCAATAATTCATATTTATTAAATTAAATTAACTTCCTGTATTGTCTATCCAACGCGTTAGATTGACAATTTGTATGTTTTTGCTGCTGTAATTGTTACAAGAAAAACAACAACCTTTCGATTAAATAGATAAATAAATTTAGTCTAAAAAAAAAAAAATTGCATAAGCCAGTTAACACATTTTTGTCAGTAACTCCCTTAATATTTAGAATCTGTGGTCATCCCTAGTATTTACAATTAGCCTTCTCATCGACTGATTATGTTGTCACCATAAAAATGCTGTGAAATGTTCCTGTGCAAATCCAAAATGGGACGCGACTTCCAATAATCAATTTTGGAATCCCTGGTCTAGTAGCCTAGTTAACAATAGTACATTTGATTACTGCATATTTAAAGTAGAAGAGAAGTTTAAGTTATTTAGACAACCAATAGTGTTGATAAGTATGGAAGCCCATTTCCACTAGTTAAAAAAATAAAAATAAAAATAATAAAGTCATAATAATGAGATGAAAAATCATAATAATGAGATATAAAGTCATAATAATGAGAAATTATGATACTTTATTATTTTCATTTTTATTTTTTTTACTGGCGGAAATGGGCTTCCATAGATAAGTGACGAACAATAGTAAATAATTAAATGTTTGGGTTTTAAAAAACGTTCCCCGGACTGTGGACATAAAATAAAACAGATGTGGGAAGCCCTGGATTGGTGTTCCCACATTTTCAAAACCGACACGCCATCTTACTTATTCCCATCCGCAGTGTCTGTGAATCAGCCCGGGCGGGGGTACTAGGTGTTGTATGCGTGTGTATGCGTGTGTGTGTGTGTTGTAAAGGGTTACGGATTGGAGATGCAGAAAGGACAGTTTCGAGGAAGTGACGGACGAGACTCGGGGGCCTGGTCAGAGGAAGTTTGCTCGGTGGTGGTACCGTGCTGCTGAACGAAACTTTTCCCCCTTTGAGCTCAGCGGCACCGTGGATCGAAACGGGACCGATCCAGCGGCGGAGGGAGCGTTTGTTTCCTCGCCACGACGAGCAACACTGAGGAATAACTTAAAGGGTTGAGAGGTGGGGGGAAAAAAAAAAAAAAAAAGGGGGAATCGCAGAGGAATTTCACTCCCACAACCAAGCCCCCCTTTTTTCTTCTCTTCCCCGCGCCTCCTCAGTTTTGTATTTTTCTGGGATCCGCGATGGGGAAGGAGCAGGAACTTCTGGAAGCGGCGCGGACGGGAAACCTGGCCGCAGTGGAGAAGCTTTTATCCGGGAAGCGACAGTCCGCTGGCACGGGCAGCGGATCGTCTGGGACCGGTGGAAGCGGCAACAGCGGCGGGCACGGCGCCTCCTCTCATCCGCTCTCCAGCCTGCTCAGGTAGGCTCTCTGGGGGAAAAAAAAAAAGAGGTGGATAAAACTGAATGGGAGAAAGCTTGAGTGCCGTTCCTGTCAATTTCCCCCATGCACCGGTGTAGCTTGTAGTATACTATTTTTAAACCCTCTTGACTGGTTTGACAGAGTAATGTTTTCTTTATTTGCAATACCAAACAAACACAATTAAACCAGAGCAGCGTAGTAGCAGTGGCATGCTTCTTTGTTCGCATCCAGCTCTTGTTTCCCTGCCAGCTGTACTGTAATGTGCACAAACAGCCTGGTAGGTAATTAATTATGCAACCTAACTACAGAAATCTGCAACAAAACAGCCCATGGCCTCTTGGAAAAACTAATACGGATGCATTATTAACTGTTTACATACAGTCTAGACCTGAAAACTCACTAGGAAGCTGGTTACCACAGCCACACTCAATTATTTAGCAGTGGTATGAAAGTGTATTTTTTTTTTAAACAGCCCTTTATCGAAACAAGCCATTTCATTTCTTATGATGTGATGGTGTGAGCTTATTATGTGGCATTTCTATTAGTAGTCACATAAGGTCGAGATTTTTTGTTGCCTCTCACATCATGGAAGACAAATCTAGATGAGTCTATTGTCAATATGGCAATTAGCCAGTGTCTCTTTATTCAATCTGAGTCCTAATCTAGGGATTATTACTTAAACTATTGTTTATATATTGTCCTAACATTCTTGCCAACATGCCACCTGTGCCATTACTGTAGTTTGTTGGCAGATGTTGGTTAAAATGCCTTAAACAAAGATGAGGAGCTGGTCTGCAGAAAACAGACCAACATGTGCCTGAAATAGAAGACGCTTGTAAAAAGCTTTGGTGATGAGCCCCTGGTCCATGGTGCATGTTCATTCAAATCTATGATAGCATCAAAAGTCATCACAGTGTTATAGAGACACAGCCTGCTGGGCCTACGTCTAAAGTACAATCCCTTTTTAATGCTGTGCAGACGAGGGCTGCTGGGTAATATTAAATAATTTGATGAAACACAAAGACAATCTGATAAGTTCCGAGTTTCATTTTGTCCGGCAGATGCTATCCGATTTGAGGCTTACCACGACACAATCGTTGGTTTTTCATCGACTGGAAGATATTGTCCTGAAACCATACGATGTTGTTTCATTATGCAGCCTTTGAGTTGAGCAGGACAAGAAAGAAAAACAAGAACTTAGTTATGAAACAGACGAGCGAACAAGTCCACGTTTGCCTTTATGTGTCTGCATATATAAAAAAAAAATGAGAAATATAAATTGTAGACTTAAGATAAATCAATGCCCCAGCTTAACACTTGCATGAAAGAAGCCTACGACTTTACTCTCTTTACTTTTATTTAAACGCTGAGCTCATACAGGTGAAGGTCTGTCCATCAAAACATAATAATACTCCCCTGGGAGCCCTGTGACAGCCACCTTCCCTTCAGGGACAAGTGTTACGGCGAAGCTCGAGGTGATGCAGCGCTGCGTTACTCAGCTAAGACTGCAAAATGTACTCAAGGTAATTACATTAAAGCACTCTAATCGGAAATCCAATTCACAGATGTCAGGCAGTCAAGGCTGGCTCGCGCTCTCCCTCACAGGTCTGTGGGCGGACTGAGGAGACCGTTGTGTCATCTACTCTGACTTGGGTAATCAATGTTTGGCAATGATCACTCTGGAAAAATATTGGCTGGTCTTTTCAGGAAATGAATTAACCACAAGTGTATTAGACTCAAAAAAAAAAAGCCTGTTGCTTGTGGACATGTAAGCTTATTACAAGACAGGGCTCTTGGATTATAACAAGGTGCACGATTAGAGACCACAGGGGCAGCCCGGGGGATTGCTGCTATTGTGTGTGACATTTGATTTGCCTAATGGAGTCGTCAATATATGAAGAAATCTGACAAGAGTGGTACAAGTTGTTGCCTGATTCTTTTTTTTCTGTAATAGCAAAGATGAGGTGGTAAAAGGAAATATGTGATATACACTGATGCTATACTCCACTCCATTTGCATACACCTTTTCTATAACTTGTAGGAAAATACATCTTTGTACTTTTTATTTGCTGAAGCCAAAACAGTCATTTCAGCAGACTTGACTTGCCTCATCTTGTTTTAGGATGTGGGTTTGAGGCCTCGCGCATAAAATATATAGTTAATAACCATAACATGATTGTTGTGTACATTGAATCACAGGCTGTGATCGGCCTTAATCGGCTTCATTACTTTACTTCAAAAGGTGTGTTGTTTTGAGTGTTTCCACCAGATATATCTGGCGTTCTTGCCCTGGAATGGCGTGCATGTCAAGACTTGCGGTGTTGTTGTAACCAGGCGGTTGTACAGCTCTCTCCTCTGCGGAATGTCTGCTTTCCCAGGAGGCTGCATCCCAGCGGTTGCTATGGGATAGACCCTGACCCCGGCACAGCCACCGCCCCAAACATTTGTTCTACGACAGTGCTCCATTAACACCAAAAATGAGCTGGGAAGGGCTTGCCATAGTAGGAAGGTCACGGTGTAACCTCACTGCTGTTTGTTGGATGCAGATGTATGAAGGGCCCTGACAGAGATGTGATTTTTAGAATGATGTCGTTACATATTTTAGGGTGGGGGATGTCCCTGATTACAGATATGATGTACAGCATAGTGTAGGAAAACTTTTGACAATAACTGAATATAGTTATGCATTTTTAAACCTTGATGATTATGCAGATGATCTCAAATTGCTGCTTTCTTAAAAAAAAATGCATGATAAACCAATTAAGTTGCAAACAATAGCTGCTAATTTCTTTCTATGCTGGCCCTGGTTTCCTACTCTATGCACAGTATGCAGTGTCCTCTCCTCAAATGAAGGCAAAAAGCCTGAAATTAAATCTAACAATGTTTTAATATTAGGTAGGAATTCTTCAGTGTATCAGTTGAAAAATTAGTGAGTTGGTCCTTTTGTAACAATAGCTTTGGCTTTGTCTGCGTCTTATAGGGTTTATGATAGGGCATGCATTATCTGTGTTTTCCTCCATACCTACCTTAGTGTTTGCAGTGACCCCATCATGACCCGTTCAGATCACAGAGGTTTCACAGGAAGAACCTTCACTGGTACTTCCTGGCCACGCTCATTCAAACACAGGCAGCTGCTGCAGTCAGACCGGAGCTAAGACAAGTCCCTGGCAGGGAAAGTGCCTGCCCACTGAGGGGAAATTAACAGAGGAATGCATGGACTTCTGGACAGACGCTGTGAGAGCTTAGCCAGATGAGGGCTCGTCTCCCAGCTTCGCAGCCGTGTCCTTTGTCACACTGACAGAAGGGCAGAGTGATGGCTTTTCATATTCATATCAGGTCCTAAACACCACTCTGAGGCTTTTCTGCAGTTTTTGGTTTTACAAAGAAAATTGAGCTGTCATTCGGGTAGAATTTGACCACCTAGATTATCTTACTCATTCAGTTTAGTGTGTCCTGTAGATCTTAAATAAGAATAGGTTCTCTGCAACATTCTGTTATAAAAATCTGCTTAAGTTATTCACAGAGCCCTCTTGAAATATTTCTCTCTCTATAGCATGTTGTTCTATTCTCCAAATGTCAGCAATGAAAGCTTTGCTATCAGTGTGATGACTTGGTTTGCATTTTAAGAGGCTTGGGCACAACTCCAGATCATTCCAATCCATTACATCCTCAATTTCTGGCTTGTCCCAGGCGTGCTATCAGACCGTCGTCAGCTGAGAAAATATCTGCTGCGTAAGAACCAGCACATGCTGTCCTTTTTTTTTTTTTTTGTAAAAAGAGAATTACCCTGGAGCCTCTCTGTCATTAGGATCTTTGTGAATATAGAATTCACTGAGTGTGATGGTGCAATGTAGGACTTTTAGGATGGTGTGTCTGCAGATGACAGGCTCACAGCGGGGAATCTGACACCTTCAGTGCTTAGCTGGATTTCAGTTCAGGCTAAACTGTCTCACTGCCTGCGTTTAGCGCGGTCCTATAAAGTGCAGTTTCTACGTTTTTTTTTTTTATCGGCCTACAAGGAGCTTTAGATCCATTTAAGTAAGCTCAAAGCTGGCAGTCACATTTCGTCCATTGTTGACCCCTGAACTGTAAGAATCTGTAGTTGCTTCACCCCAAGAGGGAGCAGTGCAAGCTGGGAAATCCAACACCACCGTGTTAGCATTCCTGGAGCATCTGAGTTTAGGATTCTCTGCTCTTCGCGTTATGTTTACGGCCCCTGTTTGTATAGTCTTGTAGAGCAGGCAGAGAGGCACTTAGTCGCTGTGATGAATTCCACATATGTGTGTGTGTGTGTGTGTGTGTGTGTGTGAGTTGGGGGAAGAAACTGACAAATTGAGTGTCCCTCTCTGTGCAGTATGTAGCCATTTGTACTTGACCCTAACGGTGGTCGGCTCAGAATAACTTTCATGTAAGTGGGTCGTTGGATGAATGACACGTTTGCTGAGGAAAAGTGCATACATTGTCTGAAAATGAAATTACATCTCATTAAGATACGACGATTTGAATTCTCCTTCTTTTTCTGTATTCAAAGAATCAGAAAGTTGCTTATGTATTAGGAAAGCAACACGCACACATTCACACAGCCATGAAGTGAGTCTTTTGTGTTCCTGTTTACGTGACCTCTGTGTCACCCTCACTCACTGAAGACCTCACAATAACAAATGGAAAAGATAATGCAGACGTGGCGGTGTGTCTCTTGTGTTTGGTGACTGGTTTTGAAACACTTTTTTTGTCGGAAGAGAGACCAGAGACATAAGGCCCACCCCCTGGGTCCAAGCAGACTTAAATATGTGTTGGATAGCAGTTAGCAGCCCCCCTACCCAGACGTTTTTTCATGTATCTGGCCTCCTGGCTGGCTGGCGGCTTCCTTTCTCTCCCACTCGGCTCTCTCAGCAGTATTCCTAACCCACCTGCTGGGCCCACGCCAACCTCCACCCCACCTCCAGACTTCAAACGTGGTCTACTTGGAGCCGGAGTAATGGCACTGCCCTCAATATGTT